TGCTCTCACCTTGGTCACTTTGGAAAAGCAAGCAGTTGTGATGACATTGACTGTTTTGGCATCGTTCCTGGAATAAAACGAAGCAGCACCTTTTATTTCAAGTTTTGCAATTTCACAGTGTTCTCAGGAAACTAGTTCTGATCACATATTCAAATTAATTAACTCATTTCACACAAGACCTTTTTGTTTCTAAGCTTATTCCTCAGCACAGGATACAGCCCCACTGGGCCAAAATTAATACATATCTCTTTATGTCTTGGTCCCCTGGATTGCTTCGGACTATATGCCACAAAGTGATGCCCATGTGCCCCACAACAAATCCTGGAATCAACAGAAGCCTACCAGACCCACCAGATATTCCTTCTGTAAAGTTCTATCATCACATCCAGAGAGATCTTGGCAGCAGTGGGATTGCTGTCTCTCAGCATTGTGTACATGAAGTTCTGTAGTGTCTAAAAAAAAGGTTGCAAACATTTTATTAGAAGTGTTCCACAAGAGTACAAGGTCTAATCCAAGTACAAGTGAAAGCCTAAGCACTTACCGTGTTCACTTTGTTGTTTTTGTGCTTAGCATTGACGTTCTTGATGTCTGTCACAATGTGAGTGTACAAGGTCTGTAAAGGAGAGATGACAGTGAGGAGCACAGGTCATGCAGAGAACAGACATTACTGTGCCCTCACAGTCTCCAAGGACCAAAGTGAGACCCAGCTCACCACCACTGAGCATATAATTCCAGGCTGCAACTATAACAGCAAGTTGGTCCAAACACCACAGAAACAAAGACGACTGAGCACAGCTTACCTTTCGCAGCAGTTTATCATGGCACCGCAGCAGCTGAAAGAAGAGCTCCAGCAAACTCGTGGGATTTATTAGATTCTTGTTTCTCAACAGGATTAAAGCCTTGCAGAACGTCTGTAAGAGAAGCCAAGCTACCATCATGCTCTCCAGCCTCCCTGCCGATTGCAAAGCAACCCTCAGGCTCTCAGCTCACCCCAAGGGGTGTGTTAGCCTCGGGCAGGGAGTGCCCCAGGGTGGTCTCACCATGCGCAGGTCGGGGTCCAGCACTGTGTGGTGGTAGGAGAGCAGCTCCTTCAGCTGCTGAGGGAAGCTGGACATGTGCTCAGGGTAGCAGTGGGCCACCTGCAAGGGAGAGGCAGGTGAACGCTCTAGGGCACACCTGGCAAGGTGTGAAAAACCAGGAGTATTGTAAGTGTTTGTATGATACCAATAAGAGGCACTTAAGCCCATACCCAAGCCATACCCAAACGTGGGTGCCGGTGCAGGGCTGGGCGCCGTTGGCTTACCTGCGCCAGGAACATCACCAGTTCGGCCAGTTCCTTACTGGGCTTGTCCGGCTGGAAGGTGAAGATCTCCACATGGGACTGGTAGTGGTGGTACTGCTGCAGGAACTGCACATATACAGGGAACGAGTGAGCGGGGCCAGCAATACCCACCCGTGCCTCCCCCTCCACAGCCCGCAGCCCACCCCGGCCTCCCCAAGGGCATTCCCGCGCTCCGCACCTCCTCGGTGTAGGAGGTGGGGTCCCTCTTGATAAGGTTCTGCAGCTGGGGCAGGTTGCTGGGCAGTTTGTTGCCCTGGCGGCCCGACATGGCTGCGCGGCGCCGGCACTGCCGGGACACGTGAGTGCAGGGCCGGGCGCCGCCATGATGGCCCGCCCACCGACGGGCGCCGCCAGGGGACAAAGCACGGCAGGGGACGCGAACCTGCACAGCGACCTCAGCGACTGGCAGCGCTCACCCAGGGCACCCGGGGAAGGAGCTCGGCTGGAACGCCTTCCTAGCGGGACAAACACCTGGGGGGGTCCTCTGGGATTAAACATTATGCCAGCGAAGGGGACTGACCATAGCTGCCTCTGGGCAGCTTCCCCAGGGATTTCTCCCCAGCACTTGTACCTTGTCACTTCAGCACAGTTCATACTCCCACTGTTCCTCCTTTCCCAGCTGATGTCAGGAAAGTTGTATCACTCTATATCTCAAATAATCATTACAGAAGTGGTAAGCATCGAAAGGGAAGCCTCAATTAGGACAAGAAATTTATTCTAGCTTCATCTTTTCTGAGTTAAACTTTCAATCAAGATAATAGAAAGCCAACCCCTTCATTTGCATAGCTTATACTGCTTTAAGCTTACTACTTATTTACACTGTAGGAACAGGTTTATATTCCTTTATACAATTAGTAGATGCTATGAAATAAGTTATACCCAATAATCCCTCTTCCACAGAGCTGTGTAGCAAGTGTCAGAAGAACACCAGGACTCAAATATGGCACAGTCCAAAGAGCATAAACATAACTTCTTGTATTTCAGGCAACACTCACCTCACTGAAAGGCTTTTTATTATGCTGGTAAGAATCTCACAGCCATATGTACCCCTGAAGCACATGCTTAGCAGCAGGTTCACCTGCTTCAAGTGAGTTTGGGCTTTCCTGGACCCATTAGAGCATGAAGAGCACATCCTCCCTTCCACACCTACACAGCTGCCAAATGCCTGGTTTTAGTCTCAGTAGGAGGGCAAAATAACTGTAAAATAAGAGAAGAACTGTGTGGGCTGTTAGCAGCTGCATAGAACAAAAACAAGATTACTATTACCTAAACAAATGACTACTTAATGTTACTAGGTATTAATTAGCTCCTTCCTTAACATCCTAGGAGCAATACTATTGTCGTTGTTTCTACAGGGACTATTGAAGGGACTTGAAAAGTTAACAATTCAGTTCAGCCATATATAAATATACTACAATTATAAACTATCTTCCTAACCAGCTTTTTTAAAGCTCTACCATCTTTTATATTAAAAACCCACTTATTTTTAAGCAGCTAGTACATATATACTTCTTATAGCATGTACAAAAAAAAAAACAAAAACAAACAGTTGCATAAGCTTCCAACAAAATTTTTACTGAAGAAAGCAGCAAAGCTAAATCACTATAAAATTTAACATATATATCAGGAACTATTACAAAAAGATTTTTTAAAAGTAATCTAACTTTCAGACATAATAAAAAAACAACAAACAATAAATTAAGCAACTAATTCTTATTAAAAAACCCAAAAGTTACCTTACCACATCCTTACCACTCCAACACATAATAAAGCAAGGAAAGACCATTGCCCTTGGTTTGAGCTTTTATACCCTGAGCCCATTGCCCCCCACACACTGATTGGTCTGATTTCTACCAGCTAATTAGGCCAGGAATACTTGAACTCAGGACAGATGGGCCTAATTTCTTTTGGTTAATGGTGATGGGGTGTATGGATGTTCCTCAGGGAGATTACTTGCTCATGTGAAGGTAAGAAGCATAAGTTCACCTTTTTATGCTGTTTTGGAACCAAGATAGGAAGCATGTTGTATCTTAGTTGTGATTAGGATGGCTTAATTAACATGCCAAATGATGATATTTGTGAAAGCCAATTTTGGCTGTGTTATAGACTAAAAGGCTTTTTTGTTTCTGTGATTGTTTGTAACACAGGTGCCTCTTGGCTCTGTTTTGCCTTTGCTGTAGTCAGCCCTCATCTTTCTGTCCGATCAAGAGCTGTAGAGTTTGAGTTTTCACAGTGTCTGGGAGGCTGTACTTGAACTCATTTAGTGTATTTGATTGCCAGCATTTCATTTAAGTTGTGTCAACTCTTGGCCTTCTGTTGTAGGGAGTTTGTCTTCCTGGACTTAATACTTGTAATTTTGTAATTAAGAAGAGGGTTAGTGCTCTTTTCCTTTAAAAAAAACCAGGCAAGTCTTTAAGTCCAACAGAAATATTTATTTCTGGATTGTGACTCATAAATTATTTACAGGCTTGAGGCACAGGACTTGCGTGTTGTTCAACAGAACAGGGAGATGTTACAGTAATGGCTTGAGAAATGCTCAGTCACTTGCATGTCCTGGGGGAGAAGAACAGTCCTGGCTGATGGTGCTGATGGCAGGAATCTGGGTGGCACTGGGGGATATTCAGCATCAGCTTTGCTTGCTGTGGCTTTCCTTTGCCTGCGGCACAAATGCTTCCTCCTCCGAAGGGAGCAACTTCTTGCAAATCATTTTTTAATGGTCAAAATAACCCTGTGCTGAATAGTAACCAATCTAATGTCTGATTCCACCTAACCTAAAAATATGACACAAGTTCTGTTCCAATAAGGGGCAGTAAAGGCACATGTTGCAATTCAGTTTTGGAGTGGAAAACCTGCTCATATTTATCATTACACTGGGTATAAATTCTCGAGGGCAAAGGTTAAGTTCCTGTAGGGGATGAAATGCAGCCTCGAGGTGATCTGCTGATTTGTAACATCACAGTACTCTGAGAGTGGGGAACACCAGCATTTTGAAGATGAAACTGTCTTTGAGGCAAACGTTGGTGAGCTTGGTACCTATCCACTGCGCTGGGTCCGGCTGTGTCAGTACCTGGCAGGAGGCTTTTTGCTTCCCTCGGCATTTGGCTTGTCCTAACTCGTTTACTTGTGCATGAAGGAGGGAAAAATTATGTTTTGCTGATGTTTGTTTTCCATTACTGATGTAACATCAGAATAACTTGTCTCAGTCCATTTTACCCCTTTGCTCTTTAAAACTTGGCTCCTGCAGATTGTTTTGTCTTTAGGATAGACATCTTACATGTGATGACTGTCCCTTACTTGCCTGTCTTAAAGGTACTTTTTCAGGGGTGAGGAAAATATGTGATCTGTGGGTTGCAGTTTCAAGAGTAATTTTAGGTGCTGTTTGGATTTTGAGACTCAGATCCTGCCCTGACTCACAGGGCCTTGAAGCAGCTCAGTGATGCAGATAATGATAAACCAGTTCAGCCCCAATCTGTCAGGGTTTCTGCAAGTGCATGGAAATATTTCTATTCTAGGATTTCAGGATACCTTGCCTGTAAGTATAAGCAGTTACTCAGGGAGAGTTTGATTCATTGTGAAGGAGAAAAGAATACAATTATAGGCTTGGCTGTTTCTCGTGCCTTCTTATTGAATTGAAATAAAACACACAGACTGATGCAGACAAAATTTTATTGAATAGTTCATTAACAAAGCTGTAACTATAGGAATAAGGTTTTTGCTCTTTCGTTACCCCAATTCTGAATCTTAAACTAGGGTCCTGTTCTTGCACTTACATCCCCCTTCACAGAATTTTTTTAAGCTTTAAATGCAAAATGAAGGAAGAAAAGAAATTTGAACCAAGTTGATTTATTTTTTTCAACAATTCAACTGGGAGCAGGGGTGGAAGAAGGCAGCAGTAGAAGTAAAGCAGTGTGGGAAGTGAAATGCCCAACATCTCCCAGAAGAGTTGACTATTCCTGGCACAGCTGAGGTCTTGGCAACTTTGCAAAACACTTCAGGGTAGCGGCATCTTTTGATCTTCTCTGAATCTGTGAGAACTAGAAGCTTGCAGATGTCCAAGTGCTAGAAGGGTCTAGGATGATCAATTGTAAAATAACTTTGAAATGTGAAGTCTCGTCCCTAAAATATGGTTGTACAACAGCCTTCCAGTGGTGGCACAACTCCTGCTAACACCATCAAAGGCCCTGCCTGCAGGGAGTGCAGAGGTTTGCTTTAGAGGGCTCGGGGAGAGAAGTGCACAGGCATTCCTGCTGACGTCTGTGGCAGCTTTGCTCAGGTGGAGACACACAGGAGACTGCCAAGGACAGGTTCCACTGTAAATCAGTGTGGTTTCCTTGGCTTCAAGGGGATCACTGATTTGTATCTGGTCTATATGATGATCCTGCCTGAGACACGTAATGGCATGGCAGGTACGTGCCAGGGATATGAGAACAGAGTTGATGACAACCAGGAGTTGCTCTTGGGAGATGGCACTAGTGTGATGCTGAAAATGTGGAGACAAGCTGGCATTGCTGTAGGAGCTGGAACTGGGATACTGTCACCTGGGTACTACGGTGCTATACCTGTATCTGGGATGGGAACAGCGAGTGCAGCCAGGTTTCAGCACAGCAGGGGTTCATCTAGTCAGCATAGCAGGATGTCGGTGTCAGAGCTGCTGGCACATATTTCACCTCCCCGTGGTACAGGAAGGGCACAGGGGAGCTGTAGCACTGCTCTCTGTCGTAGGTGTAGCAGGTCTGGGGCTCATCACAGAAGTTGCCCTGCTGGGCCTGGACGATCCTCCCACCCAGGTCAATCTCTACAGGACTGCAGTTTCTGCAGCTGCAAGAGATGGAAAACAGAACAAGTGTGAAGAGTTGTGATGATAACATGCCCCTGGTGACACTCAAATCTTCCCTGTTGATCTCCATCCTGTTGATGGAGCCAGCAGAGTCCTGTGGCCTTTCTAGGTGTTATATATTAACTCCCAGCCTTTAAGCACCTTTTTGAGCTGCTGTGGGTTAAGTCTTGGGAAATTAGGTTAGTAAATAAAACTACTTACAGTTCAGAGATTCGGTAGACAAACTTGGTTCTGAGGGGGGACAAGGGGTCAGAGATGTTCTCTCGAGCCTTCAGGGGGACTCTGCAAAGGAGGGAGGAGAATGACTCATGGAAAATGCTTATTAAACAGGGTCCTCTCTGCTGTGAGCAATTCTAAACTCCCTTCTCAGTCTTTGGGTTATTTCCATTCTGACCCTCCCCGAGAGGACTGCAGCAACTCCCGGGAGGGCCACTTTCAAGGTGACAGTTTGCTTCTGTTAAACTCTGAGCTGGCAGATGCCTGGGAGACTTGCAGGACATGGACAGGGATGTTTCACCAGTGGCTCTCCTGTTGTGAGCTCTACCAGAGATCCTGCAGTCTGAGCCTGAACTGGTGGTCCTTGTTTCCCAGACACACACACACTCTTCTGTTAGGTTTGTGCGAGTGGATAGGACCAAGTCCAACTCTTGAACTGAGATCTGTCTCATAGGATTAAGCTTTTCTGATACTTTAGGACTTAACTACTTTCCCAGACTCACTGTCAGATAGGGAAGTATCCAGTGCCATGGGCTCCATCGGGTTTCAAGTTAGATCTGCTGTTGACATGTTACACTCTACTTCCCCAGCCTATTTTTTGAAGTTACTACTGGACTGTTTAAAACATGGGGATGGTTTTTGCATCTGAAGGGACAAACACCAGAGAGGTTCATGTGAGGTGAAAAACACTAAACAAAGGGAAATAGTTAGGCTACCACAAAAAGCAGCCCGTGGGACAAGCTGTTCCCTTCATCAGTGCCAGGACATGGGAAAGAGTGCACAGAAAAGGGAACACTTCATCACTTGCTCACAATCTCCATTAAATATTTGTCTGTCACTTACATGATACGTATGTGTCTCTCCAGGACTTCTTCATCAGGGTCTTCTTTAGAGGGGACGATCTTTGAGGTCATTGTCACACACTGGCACTTGTTGTTGACCAGCACGTACTCCTCATCCTTGGGCTCCAGCGGGTAACCTGCAAGCACAGCATTTGCAACCCCGGAGTCAAGGGAAAAAGCTGTTAAAGCTGTTCTAGTGGAAATCCAAGGGATGAGAATGCCAGGAGCACACCAATACAGTGCCTGGATTGATTCCAGGGAAGGGCAGGTGGCCCTGATGATGCTTGTGCTTTGCAGGGAAAACTCCAGTCCTGTTTTTCTTACCCAAGCTGTTTCTTCTCTCTCTGAGTACGTCTCCCACACTGTTAGCATGCTACATAATATGAAACTCAGTCACAACAGGCTAAAACATCCCATGTGTCACCCAGAGGCTTTTGGAATGTTCCTGGTGTTGTGCAATGCTGTCTTACTGTGCTAGTAGATGGACTTGCCTGCTCTGCTTGCTGCTTGGTTTAATCACAGAGAGAAAGAAGAAATAAGCTGAAAACATCTGTGTTAATCATGTCTATAAAGGACTTTGGAGTCACTTGGACTTAAAAGCTTTGGTCCTTCCTGCCCCTATAACATAGGGGTTTCAGCAGCTCCTATTCCAGAATTTTGGAGATCCTTACAGGCACCATATCTGGGAAAAAGGCACCAAAACTGTGTGAAATGATGCCTCAGAGAGACCCCAGAGTTCACCTGCTGGCTTCAAGTGCTGTTTCTGTGGCCTTGGCTGCCTTTGGCAGTAGAACACCTGCTGGAGAAGATTCTCTGTGGAGTTTCTAGCTTGGGAAGCAAATCACTTTGCTTCCTTGCTCTGCAAGCTTCTTCTCTGCCAACTAACTCATTGCTCCACATGAGCACTTCTCTCTGAAGCAGCCGCTTCCCACAAAAGCCTCTCTAGTCCCTGTCTCCTTGTCCTGGTCTTTCTTTTGGCTCATGAAAGGTCTCTGGCTTGTCCTTCACACAGTTCTTCCTCTGCTGCCTGTGCTGTGTTCCACATAGTGCTGTGTGCAGTTCTTTCCAAGCCCTTAATCCAAAGCCAATATTCAAGTCGGATCCTATTGGCTTTGGGGTTGTCCCAAAGCCTTTGGGAGCAGGCTTTACTTCTAAAATTAGTTTAACACGGTATTTTATGCATATGCAGGGTTTTTTGAATGCACTCTAAAAATGCTGTCCTGATTTAATTCTTTATGTAATGCTCTTGGCTTTACTGTAAAAGTTACTGCAACTCCATTTATTTTTCAAGTAAAGTTACGGTGCTCAAAAAATATAATTTTATCAGCAATATCTCCATGTGCCACCCAGTGAAGTCCCTTGGGGGAGAAGGTATTTATGTACAACATTTCCTAATGCTGTTCTAAGTGTCTGCAGTTTGGAGTTCCTGCACTAAGGTGTTCCCTCTGTGATACACTGTAGTGTATCACAGTAGTGGCTGGGTAGGCAGTAAGATGCCCTTTGCCAAAAGCTAGAGAAAATGCAGGGATGCAGCTGTCCATGCTGTTGGGATGGTTATCCTTGAGCACTGGTTTAATCCTGCAGACAGATGCACCATGTGCATGAGAATGGCTTCAGACTGTCACACAGAGACCTGAGACCCACACCGAGGAGTGTGCTGGGAGCACACTCTGATCTCACTGGAGATCAAGAGTTCCCAAGACATTCAGTGGAGTTATGTGACAAATTACTGTTCAATCAAAAAGAAGTTGGTGGTAGCCATAGGACAGGACTATCAGGAAGACTTTGGAAGCCTTTAAGTCTAGCAGGTAACTTTTGCAAGGTCCCTAGCACTGCAGAAAAGCAAGCAAGCAAGCATGCTGGCCGTTTGTTGCTTCAGCAACCTGATAAGAAATGGCCAATCATCAAGGCTCAAATTCACAGCTAGGCATCACTTTGTCCTCAAGGCAGCAACTAAACCCACACAGCTCTGGTGCAGAAACACAGGGGTGTACAAGCACCACTGAACTATGATTGCTTGAGCAGGCTTTGAGTTTGGACCTTTGACTGTTGTAGATTACACAAAACCTGCCACTGATATCTTAATCCCAGTTTTCCACCTACCTGCCACAAGGATGATCCCCAAGGAGACGGCCAAGGCCACGCACAGCAACAAAAAGCTCTTCATCCTGCCTCCCCTTCTTTTGAAGAATGTGGGTGCAGAGCCTGTCTCTGCCTATAAGGGCGTGTGCAAATGGGTTTCCTAAAATAAACAGCCCAGCCGGCTGCACCGACACCGGGAAATGTGGCTTTGGGGACTGAAACCAGGTGTGTGAGTGCACCAAGACCTCTGGCTTTCGGAGGGGAAGGGGGCAGGGGGTTGTGCTTTTATTGAGCTATTTTATCCTGTTCATCACCAACAGGCAGTGAAGCTGCTGAGTGCAAGGAGGTGCAAAACCACCCTTGTCCTTAGGGGACATCTTGCCATCAGGGCCAGTATAAAGTAAGAATGTCCAAGGACCACAGCTCTGCTTCTAACTGTGAGAAATCAGACTTAAAAGATCACTTTAGTCATACTAAAAAACCACTTCAGGCTTCAAAGTGAGTCCTGTTTGAACCAGCTGTGTGCAAACCTGTATTAAGGGCTTGACCTGCCCCCAGAGAGCCTGCAGTCAAAGCAGGCAAGATGAGAGGGGAGGGGTGAAAGAGGTAAAGCCAACAGCAGCTCTGGGGCCAAGCTGAGCTCTTCCACCAGCTCTGCCTGCTGTGTCCAGGGGTGTATTTCCTTGAGAATGGAAAGGGGACTCCATGGGATTTGTGGTGAGAGGTCCTGAGTCAGGTCCCAGCCAAACCCTGAGGTACTGGGCATGCAGACTTTTCCTGAAGGAAGGAGATACTGGAGAGGACCTGGATTTCTTTTGTCCCAGATTTAGTATCACTTATGGAACTCTGAAACACAAATGTTGCAATGTAACCTGCAATGGCCAGAGCTGTCCCTGTAGCATTTACATGTGTCTTGTGCAGAAAAGGCCACTTTTTAAGGAAAACCCAGTCTTAGCAAGGGCCTGATTGCTCTTGCCAGGCTCCTTCGAGAGGCTGAAGTCATTAGGCAATGCTGCCGGGCATCCCAGTTCCTGTCACCTTGCACACTGTCCTCCCTTTTCCCAGACTCTGCTGGCTGGGTCCCCAACCCTGGGGTTCTTCCAAGACCCCTGATTCTGTGCCCTGAGCTTTTCCAAGCACAAATGTCTCACCCTGCAGCTACCTGATGCAATGAGCTTTCAGGTTACATCAGCAGTGCCCATATGCAATGAGTGTGGGAGCTGGGAGGGTGGTGATGAATGATAGCCCAGCTCCTTGCAGGGCAGTGGGTTCTGCCATAGTTCTTTACAAACTCCATTTTCTCATCAGGGATACATCTATAAGGAGGGCAGAATCTGGGTTTGCTTCCTTTCCCCCTCTCAGAAGGTATTGCCAACAGTTGTGTGCAGCACTCTGAGGCAGTGGCAAGATGTTCCCTTGGCCCCACTTTGGCAGAAGGTAAATAAACCTGGCTTGCCTGGGCTGGTGGGGGGTGTCTGTCTAAAGCACTATTTGCTTTAGTCACCCTTTTCTGTAACAAAGGATTTTCTTAGAATTATCTAGGAAGGAGGGAAAGCTGGCACCAGGATAAAGCACATGCAGAGGAGGCTGGTTCTGGTCTGCTTTGCCAAAATACACTAATAAAAATATGGCACTGGGAAAATCTAAGGAGAGGCACCTGAGTATTTCCCAGCCCCAAGGCAAAGATTGAGCAGAATTATGTTCTGTGTTTCTGTTGATTTCGGTGTTTTTCCCTGGCTGCTGGTGCTCAGCATATCTGGATTTCGGTTGCTAAATTTACACGTGTGTGTACAGTCCCTCTGGTGTGGATATGGTGACACGAGGGCTATATTTAGTCCCCTTCAGCCACCTGCATGTCTCTGGGGTTTCTAGCGAGACTGCAAGCTCTTGAGAGGAAGGTCTGGTTTATGGATTGTTACTTCTGTGGACTATCCCCTTTTTACTGGGTGATAGTTTGAATTACAAAATTTAATCTGAGCAAGCAGCTGTTTTGGTAAGGGGCTGGCAGTCCATCAGTCCAGGCTCCATTTCTGGGCTGAGCAGGGAGCTGGACTGCCAACCTCCTCATGGGGCAGAGGCCAGTGGAGGAATAACTGAGAACTGGAAAAGAAATGGGAGCCAGCCTTGCAGTCTCAGTCTCCTTTCACATGTCCTATGCCTCCAGTTGGCTCTGGACAGGCTGAACTAGAATTTTCCAGGTAAGAAGTCGAGCAGGTGCCTGGATGCAGTGAGGCAGAATAGTTGTCTGTGTGTGTCCTTGCTGTGACAGGTGAGGAGGATGACACCAGGGCATGGGGTCTCTCCAGATAACACACCACGCACAAGCAGTCTGTCCTATGCTTCTCTTTGCTCTTGGAAATAAACTTTGGGTTGAGAGACAATGTGTCAGGGCCATTATCATCCATGAGAGTCCAAGTGCAAGTTAGTCTTTTGTTAAGGCTCTGAATTTTGAAAGGCCAGACTTGAAACAAAATTAGGTCAGTTAGATGGTAACAATCAGGGTCAGGGAAATGAGGGAAGCCTTGGTTTTGGTAATTTACACCTGTAAAAGTTATCTGGAATTTTAACCTCGCGGGAATTGGCTGCAGATGTCTCTGGCTGGATTCACACAGAAAGCCAGCAGGATTGAACAGCCAGATGACAAAGCTTGATCACCAGGGACAGCTGCATTTAGTGGCCAACCAGTATCAAGTGAGAATTTCCCCCTAGCAGTGGCTAACAAATTAAATGATACTGTGTCTCACCAAATCCAACTTACTCTTGTTGCTCTTTCTTCTACAGGTCTGTATCCAGGGAGGTGATGGCTGAAAACCAGCACGGACAGGTTTGGAAAAGAGGGCTGAGGCAAAACCTGTATTTGTGCAAGAAAATTTTGACCCAGAAGTAACCATGTGGAGAGGAGGAGCATATTGAACTTAGAAATGAGACCTGTCTGCCATCAGATCGACCAGAATCCAAATGAATCACCCAAAAGTGAGTCAAGTTTTGCACCCCACTCTGTGTGTGTTAATTTGAACATTTGCTTGACATATATTTTTTCCATGGAGAGGTGGACAGGAGCATTTATAAATACAACTGCACCTGTTCTGTGGTGAGGAAAAAAAGCACCTGAACTTCCTGAACACAGAACTGCTCTTGCTGGGACGTGGGGGTGCTTAATTTATCAGGCTCTGGGTTTCTGAGCTCAGAATACACTAATGTGACTCCTGCTGCTCTTCTGGCAGGGCTGCCTGTAGTTTTCCAAAGCAGACTGTTTCCATGTGGCTGAGTAATGTGGCTTGGGAAAGCTGGGAGGTTGGGCTGGGTGCTCTGAGATGGATGACAGGTACACACAAGTAGAGATTGCCTTAAAAACCCTCCCGATGAGGGAGTCCCTGAGTGTTGAAAAATCAGAATTGCTTCTTGTCTGTGGATCTACGCATGGATCTATTTGCATACAAGGATGGGTTCAAGGAGTGCAGAGGTGGATTCTGGTGTGAGGTGTATTTTCCATGTGTTTTTTTTCCCCTGGTGGACGATGACCATACAAACAGCAACTGCATGGGGCTGGGCTTTTAGGGGAAGGAAAACTCCCGAGGAGGAAAAAAAGGCTCTTTTGCCCCATCTTTTTCAACGTGGCATCAGTGATTGCTGACTGGAACCCCCTCCCCGGGGGCTGCGAGGGACATCAGCATCTCACGGGGCGCGTGAGGCCGATGGCGCTCGGGACCAGGAACGGGAAGGGATCGGGCTGAGCTGCCGGGCGGAGCAGCGGAAGGGGAGCGGTGGAAGCGGAAGGGGCGGTGTGGAGGAGCCGGAGGATCCGGAGAAGCCGCGGGAGCCATGCGGACCCGGCGCGGCACCGTCCTTCGGCCGCCGGCACAGTCCCCCGAGGCCGACCATGGGCTGGACGAGGCGCCCGGCGGCAACGCCGGCCCCGAGGAGCTGGCGGACGACGTGGAGCAGTTTCACGAGGCGCAGTTCCGAGCCGTGATGGCAGCCCTGGACAGCGGCGAGGAGGCCGGGGACAGCGGCGACGAGGAGGAGGAGGAGGAGGTGCTGGGGCTGCAGCTGCCCGAGGAGGACAGCGAGGAGGAAGAAGAGGAGGAGGAGGAGGAGGCGCAGGGGCTGAATCTCTTTATGGAGCACAGCGCAGAGGAGGATGAGGATGGAGACGCTGAGGAAGATGAGGATGGGGAAGGTGAGGAGGAGGAAAATGAGGTTGAGGATGAAGATGAGGACCTGTCCATGGAAAGCGACTTGGAGGAGCAGCGTCCAGACACCAAGCTCCCCCACGAGCTCTCCTGGGGCCAGCGCAAGCAGCTCTACTATGACACGGACTACGGGAGTGATGCCCAGGCCAAGGGCAAGCGGAGCCAGCAGGAGATCGATGCTGAGGAGGAGGAAGAGGAGCAGGAGGCTCAGGTGATCCAGAGGCGGTTAGTGCAGGACTTGGGGGAGGATGACTATGGGCTGGATATGATCCAGGGCTACCTGGCTGAGCAGCGCAAAATCCATGACAGCAAGGGGCAGAAGATTGACAAGGATCTGCAGGCCCTTTCCAAGAAGGAGCAGCTGAAGCTGCTGAAGCAGGAGTCCCCTGAGCTTCTGCAGCTGATGGAGGACTTGGAAGTGAAGCTCATGGAGATCAAGGATGAGCTGCACCCACTGCTGCAAATGGTCAAAGATGGCACTATCCCCCAAGGGAAGGGCAGTCGGTATTTGCAGACCAAGTATCATCTGTACCTGAACTACTGTGCCAATATCAGCTTCTATCTAGTTTTGAAGTCCAAGAGGGTACTGGTTCATAGTCACCCCATCATTGAACGGCTGGTGGCTTACAGAAATATCATCAATGACCTCGCTGTCATAGACCAGAGGTTATCCCCACAGGTCCGTGTACTTCTGAGGAGCTACTATGATAAGAAGGAAGAGAGGTTACGGAAGGAAAACAAGTTTGCCGTGTTTCTCACCATGGATGACAAGAAAAACAAATCAAAACATGCCTCTGCACTTGCTAATGGCCAGGCTGCTGCTGCTGCTGAGTCGTCAGGTGAGTCAGAGCTGGATGAGGAGGCTGCCCTAAAATACTACAAGATGATGGAGGAGAAGCTGGCACTCAAGAGGAAGAGACCTGGAGACGAAGACGTGCTTGAAGAAGAAGTGGTGTCGGAAGGAGAAGATCC